ACTTTTAATTGGCAGAATTGACTGCAAAATAGTTATGAGTTTTGACCCTGTAGTGTATCAGAACATCATTGTGGTAAACAGAAATACATGCTGATGGATAATTTCATTCAGTGAAAACAAGAATATATATCCTTGAAATTTCATTGTTTGGAGTTTCTTATAATTGATTTAAATGGGAAATTTCATAAAGATAACCACTATCAAGTAACCAATGGATTTGTATGTGATTTTATTAGAAAGGATTGACACCAAATATACATGTATTTTCTTAAGTAACTTGTATTATTATAAGAAACCAAGCGCTGTGTTACTTGTGGTTCTATTTGGTTGAAGTGGAAGCATAGCCACTATAAAAAAAAAACAAGAAATTTGCATTTGCTTCTATTAGAAAGGATTTGGCACCAAATATACTTCTTTTTCCCCGCATGACTTATATTATCATAAGAAACCTAACTCTATTATTTTGTACTAGTGGTTCAAAACTTCAAATAGTGTGGTAAGAAGGAACATATTGATCTTATGAGCAGCGGTTCACTCTGTATGAATCTCAACTTGCAATGTCTTTTGTTACCATTTGCAGGTACATGTACAAGCTGGGGCATAGACTATTTAATGGTACAGTAATATGGAGTCAAGAATACCAGTTCAAAGCATCTCCTTTTCCAGGTCAAAATTCCTTGCAACGTGTAGTCATATTTGGTGATATGGGAAAGGTAATTTTCTTTTTATTTTTCTCATGGGCATTCTGGTTATAACCATTCTGAAATCTGGAGATACAATTTGTCTCAATGTATTCATTATTACATATAAACAAAAGAGATAAGATTGATCAGGTTGATTTAAATCTCTATTACTTCTTTCTCTTTTGTTTCATCCATGGGTAATAATGATTGTATTTACTATCTTTGGTTTCTTTCTGTTATTTCATTATTTGAATTACATTTTGCATTGTCAAAATATTATACCCAGAAAAGATGTCAGGTATTCTTACCTGTGATTTAATTACTTGTAATTCTTCTTTTCATGTTCTTATCGCACACGCAGGCAGAAGCTGATGGCTCCAATGAATTTAATAATTTCCAGCCTGGCTCACTCAACACTACTAAACAGATAATTAAAGACTTAAAAGACGTAGATATAGTCTTCCACATTGGTGATTTATGCTATGCTAATGGATACATTTCACAGTGGGATCAGTTTACTGCACAAATTGAGCCAATTGCATCAACTGTACCATATATGACAGCAAGGTTTGTTTTGTTATGCATGAATTGCATTTTTGGTATGTTCGCTGCTAAGCTTGATTATATCATTTTATGCTTTTACATTGTGTGTTTTTAGTGGCAATCATGAACGTGACTGGCCAGGAACTGGATCATTTTATGGGACCTTGGATTCTGGTGGTGAATGTGGTGTACTGTCTCAAACCATGTTTTATGTACCAGCTGAGAACCGGGAAAAATTCTGGTATGTTATTATCGTCAAACTTTCAGCATCTGTGTTTAGTAAGTTTCCTTTTATAAAACTCTAACGGATTTAGGCATTAACATCTTTAACATATATTCAAAACATTAAAGTTGCATGGCCATGCACCTTCTCTTGCATCAAATAAAACTAAGTTAATCTATTCATAAATGTAGTAAATTTTGATAGCTTCTTACCAAACAAATGTAAATGATGTTGTTTCCTCCGTAAAGATCTTCAAAAATTGCTTTACTTTGGCAGGTACTCAGCTGACTATGGTTTGTTCAGATTCTGTATAGCTAACACAGAACTCGATTGGAGAAAAGGATCAGAACAATATAAATTCATTGAAAATTGCCTAGCATCAGTTGATAGACAAAAACAACCATGGCTGATATTTCTTGCGCATAGGGTACTTGGTTATTCTTCTGCAGGGTTCTATGTGGCTGAAGGCTCTTTTGAAGAACCAATGGGAAGGGAGGACCTTCAACATCTCTGGCAAAAGTATAAGGTTGACATAGCAATGTATGGACATGTCCATAACTACGAAAGAACTTGCCCTGTGTATCAGGTATTTGCCTAACTTCAGAGATAGATAGTTTTTGCTTTGTTCCTTTACTGCCCTGTAGTAGCTCTACATGAGTATATACTATGGCTTGAAAATAGCCTTTCTTCATTTGGAAGTGTTCAACTCATCTTGTCCTTTTCTTGTTGGTCACTTAACTGACTCTCAATTTGTCATTAAGAACATACATTAGATTATGGTCATTTTGTTATTAAATTACTTTTTACTTGTTAGCTTTGAATACTTTTGCTACTTGAACTTCCTACCAATATAAATTGTAATCACACAATAATTAGTTAAATTGTAGGATTTTATTGTCTAAAATAATTTTGCACGTTTTAAATTAATTGAAGATTAATTTTATATACATAATTATAATTGTGCATGTCATACGATTTGTTAAATTTACGTATTTCTGTATTCATGTTGTATCGAATGTGCTTTCTAGGCATCAGTTTTCTCATCAATAATCAAAATGATTAAATATCTAGAAACTTTTTTCTTGTATGCTGTTATCATTTAACATAAAATAATAACTGCCATTTTCCTTACTCAGAATATCTGTACCAATAAAGAGAAGCACAATTACAAGGGCTCATTGAATGGTACAATACATATAGTGGTTGGGGGAGGAGGAGCATCCCTTGCTGAATTTGCCCCCATAAACACCACATGGAGCATATTTAAAGACCATGACTTTGGATTTGTCAAGCTTACTGCATTTGACCAATCAAACCTGTTGTTTGAGTACAAGAAAAGCAGTGATGGACAAGTTTATGACTCTTTCAGAATATCCAGAGAGTACAGGGACATCTTGGCTTGCACTGTTGATAATTGTCCACCTACAACTCTAGCATCTTGATCTAAAAGTAAAACAAAAAATTGTTTTTGGTTGAATAAAATGCTCCTTATGATCTCAATGAAGTGAGGCAACTGAAGGGTTTGGTTTAAAGTGGAAGTTTGAAATTTATACCGTTTAGCAATTGACCATGGGATACCACAATTTCACCAGAAAGCTCCAGGCTATATCACATTCTTGGGGGTATATTAAATACCTGAGGTCGTGACTAGTGTAGTCCTGGTTTCAAAGGCTGGAATATCAAGCTATGGTAATTTTGTTTGCAATAATTAACTAATCTTTATTGGGAAGCAACATTATCAGTGGAAATTATACATTCAACAGAACATGATTTTTGAAGTTGATTGTGGAGAATATATTTGTGAGTAATTCAAAAACTACAAATGTGTATGTATTACTTATGAAAGAAAACTCTTAAAACTAGGTATTTTGTTGAGACCTGAAAGTAAAATTCGGGGCCCACTTATAACTTTTTGAAATATAAACATTCATTTACATTTTTAGAAGTTCTACAATTTATTTAAAATTCTCAAACTTTTCTTAAGGTTGTTTTAGCCTAAAAACAATTAGTAACATGCGAAATAAATATTAAATTTGTATGTATTGAAAACATAATCAACTTGAAGTTGATAGATGTCTTGAATCTCTTTTTTAAGTCACTTTTCTCACATCAAAAAGGTGAAAATTTAGGATTTTAATTACTTGAGTTAATTCACATTGTCACAATTTAGCATTTTACATGTTAAATAAAAGAGCAATTTGATAGTGTTAACAAAATTAAGATGCTTCATTATAAATTTTTTCATCTATTATATAATATGTGAAATATTTATTATTTTTATCGATAAATAATATTTGTTGAAAAATCTTATTACTATCTTTAACATACAAATGAAATCAAAGATGTATCCTAAATTTTCTAGACCTTTTTTTTATGTATAATAACTATTTTTATATCAATATGAGACTTATCATTCCCTTAAGTTCAATTTAATTTAAGTGGTACTTAAATAAAATATTTTTTTAATTATAACTTAATTCTAAAATACCAACAGTAAATTTCAAGTGAAATTATTTTTAGTTTAACAAAGTCTTTTAGTCACTAATATTTATTATTGACTAAAATTTTATTAGACTTATGAAATGCTACAAATATAATGTTTATTTAATGAATTGCATTCATTTTATATTTTTAATCTATAATAATAAATATATATTCAATTATTACTTTAAAAATATGATCACAACTCTTTCATTATAAAATATCATATATTTTTTAAAACTCTAAAAAACACTTATTATTCTTTTTTATATATATATATTTTTAAACACAATTCATACTTATAGCAACCGATAATTAAAAAATATTTATATAAACACAATACAATGTTTAAAAAAATATAACATAGACAAATATTAATTATATTTTCATAACTATCACTTTCGTTTACGTATTACAACCTAAAAATACAGATGAAAAATAAAATAAAATAAAACCAATCTTAATGCTTATTTTGGACAAATTTTTATAAATATTTTTATGAGGAAAAAATATAAAATAAAATAAATTTCTAAAAGTAGTCTATCTAAGTTTATTTCTAAACGTTCTATAATTTTTCAAAAAATTTTAAATAGCTTATTTTCTTTTACAAAAATCATCATGGTAGCCAAATTCTAATATAATAAAATATAATTTCAGTCCGTGTGTAAATATGATTATATTTAATTTAATTTTCTATAATTTATTAATAATGTAATCTATTTACTGGATTAATGTTACACGTCACCTTAAATCCCAGATTACAATTAATAATAATAAAAATAATAATAGAAATTTCTAATTTTAATTTATAAAAATAAAAATATTAAAATTAAACTGTTAAATTTATCTATTTATACAAATTTTGATTGATTTTTTTAATCCTATTATTGATACACGATACTAGCGACACTTGTAGAAATCCGTTGCGTGATGTTAAATACTAAACCCTAGACCACATAATATATTTATGATCTCTACTGTTAACGAGATCCCTTTCCAATTCTTATTGCTAAGCATTCGGAAAACACTTTTCTTCATAGCAACTCAGTTCAACTTGCGAATCACACACCATGCAGGTACACCCTCTTTTTCCCAATTTCAAACGCTGCTATACGATTTATTTATTTTACTTTTCAAATTTTCAACCGTGAACTGGGTGAATTAGAGTTAATTAGGGTTTAGGAATTTGGAAACCGAAAATAATTTGTGTGTTTTATGCAGGCCAGTGATAGGTTTAACATCAATTCCCAACTCGAGCATCTTCAAGCCAAATATGTTGGAACTGGCCATGCCGATTTGAACAGATTGTCAGTCTTTCACTCACCCTTGTCCCCCAAATTCATTCTCAATTTTCTTTTTTTCTTTTTTTTACAAATTATTTGCTAACCGTTTGATTTTCTTGTGTGTGAAGTGAGTGGGCTGTGAACATTCAACGTGATAGCTATGCATCATATATCGGCCACTACCCTTTACTGGCATACTTTGGTATTGCTGAAAATGAATCTATTGGAAGGGAACGCTATAGCTTTATGCAGGTTCTTTTTCTTTCTCGCTAGATATATGTTTTTTTTTTGTTCCCCTCCAGTTGGCTTATTGACTTAGTTTCATTTTTGGTCTTAATTTGTGATGGATGTGTCTTGTCTTCTACCTGTGGCATTAAATTAGGCCTTTATCTATATCCACTAGTTTGTTTCTCTGGGATCTTAGCAAAAGATAAATGCTAGCACTATACTCTTTTTACTGTTCTACTGTATTGGGAGAGTCCATGAACGAGGAGTGGGAACAGTTACTAGCGTAACTGAAGTGTAGTCAAGTTTCTCTGTAGTGAAATATATTTCGACCAAACAGGTTGTCTATGGGGCTTTTGAGATGAAGGTGAAAAGAAAATCACTTGTTACTTGGAATGTTTTTCTGATGAAGTTAAGCTGCTGTTATTGTTTGCTTATTGACGAAATGAACTTTGTAATCTTGTTGCGTCCCTTTTGAATACCTTTGTTCTTGTTATTTTCAGAACTTGTCCTTTTTTTTTCATTGGAATGTATGAAAATTTAATCTAGGTTCATAGCTCTATATACTATAGATACATGTTGCTAGCTTATTATTTTGTTGTTATCTCTTTTCAGAGTGTGTTGTTTCTGACAAATTAAATTGGATATAAGTAATTAAATAAAGAAACTAAACTACTGCTTGCATTGTCATTTTATATAGTCAATTCAAGGGTCATTGATTCCTATATAACAAATAGATAATTAGGCTGATCGCCTAATATCCCAATTATGGAATTTTGATTTTTATATTCAAGGAAATATCCCATTTGGTTTACGTGTTGTACTGATTATGTGCAATCAGCAATATGCTTATTAGCTCAGTACTAGAGATAATTATGTACAAGTCTTTTTGAATAGCCCCTTTTTTGGAGGGGGTTATTTTGGCCCGGGGGAAGGGGTTATCAATGGTATGAAAGGAAAAGTATAGGGAGGGATGAGTAGTTTTCATGTTTAAGAGCTATGAAGCGTGCGCAGACAGCTTGACACAACCGATGTCCAAAACATGGGACACTGGGTCATTGCATATGCATAAATAGATCATGCAATTTTGTTATTAAGAGCCATTCGTTTACAATATAATCACTCTATCTTTTCATGTAAAATCTATAGTAAGAGAATTATATTTCAGGAAAGATATGTTCATCTTTTCAAAAACAACTTACCAGGGAGCCATTTGGTTTAAGAAAATAGTGAGAACATTTAACTGTTTCTTGTTTCCACTTTTGTCTTTATAAATTTCCGAAAACAAAAAGAAACATGAAATGAAAAAATAATACATTTTTTCAAACTAAAGGAGCTGAGTTCTACGCTTTCTTTCCTATGGTAATAGACCTCACAAAGAAAAATACTAAGAGACATTAATCTTTAATATATTTATTATTTTTAATATGACTTTTTTAATGTTAAAATATCAATAATATTTGTATATTATCAATGTCCTTGAAGTGCCTGGGCATATGAAAGTTTCGGCTCAATTTTCCAAGCGAACAAAATATAATTTTCAATTGGACACTGAGTGAGGAGTGTCTGCTACATGTTGTTTTTCGGGATTAAAGACGTGTGCTTTAAAACCAGAGTATTGACCGTGCCTCCTAATTTGGGATCATTAGAAGGAAGTAATGGATGCCTAATCATTTGGTAATCACTATGCAGGTCTGATAAAAAACCCTTTTAACTAGCCAATGGCTGAGCACCATGAAGAAGCAAAGAAAACCAGATATTCACTTTATCTAATGTAAGAGGGAATGTTTTAACAAATTTTGCATTCCTTTGTAACCATGAGAACCAGAGTATAGCATACACACCATACACCTGCAAAGTGACTTGCCTCAGTTTTTTCTCCACAAAGAAATCGGAGGTGGTATTGTGTTCCGAACACTCTGGATGTGTTGAGAACTCCAGAATGAAAGATAGCCAAAACTATAGAGAGAAGGATGTCTAGAGATAACGAAGTGGGAGCAAAATGGAAATGGTTTCTTTATATAGAGAAAGAGAACAAGGAGAGTGTCCTTTTTACAACCGAGAATACTCTGTTTACAAATAGGTGTTCTCAATTATCTGCACTGTTTTTGTTCCTTATTGAACAAGCACTTGGGATCCTACCCTCCATACTATGTTGAGGCTGGGTATGGGTCACAGGCCCAATATGTGTTGTAGATCTAACACGATGGATCAAATTGTTATATCATATAAAAAAATATCCAATAATATCTTGATTTATATAACATCATATCCATATCACATCTTAGATAGTCTTATCTTCTTAGAGGTTTTATGTTGTTTTTGGAATCTATGTGCTCTTTATGATCAAGAGTCTATTGTTAGTATAATTGTATAAATGAGGTTTAGTGCTTGTTTATGATTAAAACTGTAAAGTATCTCACTATGAATAAAGTAGTATTTAAAGTATTTATCTCTCAATAAAACTTCATAATCCTATACAAACAATTATGTAGCATTTGAGCAATTTGAAGCTTCTTAATCGGAAAAACATTGCGGGACAGAGCTTTATGGTGTCTGTGAACCTGCAACATGTTTTTAGTATAAATATACAATTATCTTGGAGTTAGCAAGAAGTATAAATATACAATTATCTTGGAAATAGTTATAGCACGATCCTGCTCTGAATTTTTAGTTGTCTTGTTAACTTTTTCTCTTTAGTATCCTTGTTTACAACTCGTCAGACATCAGTTATTCCTTATATGACAAATTTTATCTTTTGTGCAGAAAATGCTCCTGCCTTGTGGTTTGCCTCCCGAAAGAGAAGAAGATTAAAAATTGTCATTTGGATTACAAATGGATCACGCAATACAGTTTATAGAGCCTTCGACAGTTTATTGTGCTGTTTATAGGACCTTGATTATATATTGTAGCATCATTTTTCTTTAGCTTGTGGATGCCTTAAGTAGTTGTCATGGAGCTTGGAAAATTAGTTCTATATATGTCGAGTTTAGTTTATTGTTAAATCTTAATATTATCTGTGTTTCTTAAATTTTAAATTAAACGAGGCTTTTGTATGTATCCAAGAAAATGTGATTCTCCCTTGAATGACTTTTATGACATGCACAATTTTTCGGTTGCATTTGGGGTTTGAACTCAAACAAGTTGACCTATTGATCGAATGATTGGCTATTATGACCATGTTTAATTGTTAGTGATTGGCTAAATCATTTTAATCAGAATCTGTGTCAGTTTCGATCGTATACTTCAATTTTACCACTCAGCAGCGAATTTTATTTAGTAATTATATCCCCCAGAAATTTAAATATTTCAAAGCCAAATTTGTGTAGAACTTGTGAGTAAGCTTTACCTAGTTCTTTGTATTTAATTATATTTCTATTTTTGACCTTAGTAAATAATGATTTTCTTTGACTGCCGATGGTATATATTTTTGGTTAAATTATACTTTTGATTATTTATATTATTTACAAGAGACATTTTTTATCTTCCATCTTTAAAACATATTTTGGTTCTTTATACTTTAAAATCCTATTTTGGTTATTTATCTTTTAAATTTGGATAAATATGTTCGTAATAATAATAATGATAATAATAATAATTATTATTATTAATTTTGTAACATGATTTTGGACAGATTGAATGATTAAAGATGCAAAACATTTACCTTCAGATTTACTTACATGAAAATTATAAAAATCAATTCATGTTTGAATAAAAAATAGTTGCAAATATTGTGAAGAGTGAGTCTACCGAATGAAAAGTCTAATTTTAGGTTCTTTTACAGCAATTCGTGGATTTTAGTTTTTCCGAAACTTTAATCATATCTAATGTTTTTTTTTTTCAAACATCAATTGGTTTTATAATTTTTAAGTGAATTTATTAGGATAAATTTCACGTCTTGGATAAATTAGAAAACAACTCATCTCAAAATTGAAAATAATCATTATTTCAAAATGACTAAATTATTAAAATTTAAAAGAGAAATTATTCAAGTGAATTTTTAAAGAGGTCCTGTTCTAAACACACTACTCTTTATATTATTTAAAAGTATCAAAAATTTATACTTTTATAATATATAAGCTTAGGAATAGGAGTAAGAAGAGGGAACTCACTAGCCAATAGATAACGAGGGGAAGGAGGCGGTTTGGAACATGAGTTCTTCTACCTCTCTTCCACCCTTCTCAATTTCTTCTTCTTTTTCTTCAACCCATGTTTCCTTGCTTCCTTCGTTCACTCCCTCCTGCTTCTCGCAAACCCACTCAATCTCAACCACTTCCACATTTAAACTGCAACGCTTCTCATTTTCTTCTGTCAAAGGAAGAAGAAAGTTCCCAACTTTACCATTTTCATCCACGAAAAAGCTCGTTGTAAGAGCTGCTGAGTACAAATTCCCTGACCCAATTCCCGAATTCGCAGATGCCGTGAGTTGTCTCTTCCGTTTTTGGCTTCTCTTCTCTTTCTTTGTTAACTCATAAATTACCTTCATTTTTTTTTTCTTTTTTTTTTTGTGGGTTTTTCAGGAGACGGCAAAATTCAAAAGTCATCTCCTACAAAAGCTTTCAAAGAAGGATATCTACGGAGAATCTGTTGAGGAAGTTGTAGGAATTTGCACTGAGGTCCGTTGCTTTGTTGCTTCATATCCCCTACTACGCCTTTTCTTTAGTTAATTTGGTCGTCCTCATGGTGTTTTTTGTTTATTACTCTTTGTTGACTTGAGTAATATAAATTATGTTTTCATTTAGTGTCCAGTTTTTGGAATAATATCTCAATCTCAGTCTTTGGAAAGAACCTATAATACCTATGATGAAGTAGGGAGTGGGAATAAGATTAATTATTAGTGGGTTATAGTAGGATAATTTCTCACCATTCTGAAGAGTTATTAAAAGTATTCCTTGTCACCTTGCATGCAATGTATTTGTGCACCTTTGTTGGAGAAGTAAATGATGAATGATCCTCTGCATAGATGTTTACTGGTTTAGTTTTTGGTTTCTCTCATCTTAGTCACTGAGAAGTGACGAGAACTATTACCTTAAGTTGCCCTCAGCATACGAACTAAGGTCTTTTTATATATTTATATATATTGTATTAGTGGTGCATTTTCAAATAGCAATCTCTAGAGTGAGGTTTTGCGAAAACTCATTTTGCTTTCAGTGGCAGCTTCATTGAGATCTCTGAATTTAGAAAATCCTTCATTGACTAATGAAGCATTTGTGCACATACTTAACCTGCTTTGCATTGTGTGATTATATGTTTAATGGAATAGATTTTTGGCACTTTCTTACACTCGGAATATGGAGGTCCTGGTACACTCTTGGTCCTTCCTTTCGTGGACATGGCCGATACCCTGAATGAACGAGGATTTCCTGGTGGACCAATAGCTGCACGTGCTGCTATCACATGGGCACAAGATCATGTGGACAAAGACTGGAAAGAATGGAATAAAGCTGATAACAAATAATAATAGGGTACCTCATGTGTGTTCATCACTTAGTCCTGTTACAACTATGCTGCTTATGTTGTAAGAGCACTTTTCTTATATATTTCTTTAGCTCCCGTTTGGTCTAGAATTGGGATAGAGTTATTGGAACTGCAAAGAGTGAAACAATCTGAGCCTACGACGGACATCAAAATGCTGATAGTAGGTTTAGAACAATTGTTATTCATTATTTGCGTAATGCAAGTGCATGGAGCTTGAAAATTTTGGTACATTTTTTGAAGTACTTCTTGTCTGTTTCAACATCAATTTTCAAACCTATGCTTTACTGTTTTTCGAAGAAGTAATTAGACCACTAGTGTACTGGAAGGAAAGACTTGACGTTGTTATACACAAGGAACATGACAATGAGTAAATCTTGGATACAGACGTCATTATACACAACCAGACACAATTTAACTACTAATTAAAATAAACAAAAATAAAAATGGAATAGTAAAATCAAAATTTTTTTTCTTTATCTATTTCTTTCTATTTTTACTTTTCTTCAAAGAGAATGTTTCCAAGTCTCTTTAGGACTATATTCATCATTTTCTAATTCTATAAACATAGTATGAAAAATGGTAATCGAGATCGAGTGGGTAACAATTTCACAACAAATGAAAAAGGGTTGAGAGGGTGGTGTATCAGACGCGTGTGTATACAAAGTTTTTAGCAGTATATTATTACACTATTTTTTCAAAAAAAATTAGGCTTGTAAAGTTGAATTGAACAAGCAGAGACGGAGCATTCATCATTTTACTAACATGTCCAATGATGTTAGGATTTAGACTATTAACATATTCAGAACACAGCATTTTAATGGCATCCAGTACACGCATGGAATAATAGATTTAAACCACTGTCTAGTCATGCACTTTTTGAGAATATTAATAATACTAAATATTACTCATAAAATCACAATTTGAGTGTGACCAAAGTGATTTTAGGAGGACAATCTTCACGACTATAAATACCCAATGCATAATTTTCATTAGTACCTGAAAGAAACAAGCTTCCGAAATATTCTTAACCTTCTAATTCTAACCAGCCTCAAGCACTAACCAGCCTCAAGCACTAACCAAACCTCCTGCAACTGCCTTTACCCCCGAATCATTCACTTTTTATCGTGTTTTCATTTCCTTTTGAACTTCTTTTCAATGTCAGGTACACCCTGCTTTAACTCCTCACTGATGTTATTTAATTATTTCTAAACTAATGATTGATTATTTCTTTAGCAAATGAGATCAACATGTCATTCTTGATAGTTAACAGACGTCAATTCATAAATTTCTTTTCTAACAAAATGTTAATATATAGCTGAACCTCACACGGTTCATACATACCTGCTCATAATCTTATTTCACTCCCTGTTCGTCTGAAATAGGAAATTATGACTGAAAATAAAAAAAAATTGAAGCAGGGAATGGTATATAAGCTGATCCACATCAATGCATAACCGTAAAATGACTCCCAACATCAACTTCATTGACTAATAGAGTTGAATGCATTAGTTTACAGAATATTATTGCAATACATGAAACACTACCGAGCATGTAAATCAGATGATAAGGGAGGTTATTCTAACTTAACTCAGTCTAGTTCGAGGTCTTTATAAATGCAACCCAGGTAAAACCCAGAAGAAAGAGCTGAATAGATACAAAAAATTAATGAAACAACTTTTTAAGACGTGTTCTAATGTTATTGAATTGAACAATAATCGTGTTTCCTATAGACTGTAAGGTATTCTGATCTTCCGTATGCTGGAGAATGAAAATAACGAACTGAAGTTAATAGGACTCTAGTGTCGATAAGAAGTCCTAATGGGAATCTTCCATTGCGGGGAAAAAAATTATGGAAATTGTAAACGCTGAGGTTGTAAGTTATGACTGCTGAAGCAGGACCAGTAGAGGACTAATTCATTCTTATCTTGGATTGATTGCTAAATAATAGTATCGCCAATAAATTGAAGAACAGACACATCTGCAAATTGCAGACGTGTTATGCAACAAATCCGACCCAGCACCAGCAATGGGTGAATTACACATACTCTTCCTGGACTTGGCCATCTGTAGAAGCAGAGAAAGCTTAGAATAGTTTAATACATGCACATACGAAGAGATGAATGAATATAAAAGTTGAGAAATATAAAGATTCTAAAGAACTCACCTGCAAGGTTGACTGCCAAATTTGCTTGAGCATCAGCATCAGAGTTGAAGTTCTTCACAAGGTAAAAAGAAAATTATCTTAGACGCTTAAATTTAACCTTCAGGAGTCTTATTCTGGTACATACATAATATTTAAATGCAATGCTCTTATCCTTCCACAAAAAATCTCAAAGTAAAGGGATTTGTTATAAGTTATAACACAGTTCCAGAAGGAAAAACCAAAAACATGCAAGAAATAACAAATTAAAAGCACGACATGGTTGAGTTTAGTAGACTTGAACTTGATTATATAAAAGAATTAGAAAGGAAACAATGCTTATAAAGTCACCAACAAATTGACGTTAGGAAAGCATATTCTACCAGAAAGGGGATGATGTATATACAGAAGTCGAAGCAACAGTTATGTAACATAACAGATGCAATAAACGATCTTTCTAATAATTATGGGATGGCCCCTTGGATTGAACCGGTTCCTACAACTTATTTGTGTTTCACAAACACAACAATCTAATAAGAGGGACAGAAATCACACCGTTAAGTGGTTCCAAGAGATATTACCTTATTGCATTTTTATCAGTTTTTCAATGCTTCATTTTACATCTCTCTCAGTTTTTCAGAGAACATTTATTTTTTTCTTTTTGGATAATTTACAATTGTGTATTTGGTTTGACTTATTTTGAACCTATAATTACTTATTTTTGCCTGCTTGCTGAGAGCTTTCTGAAAAATAAATAATTGTATCAAACATACTGTAATTCCATAGACATCAATAGCTCATAAACTATACCTACCCTTAGAACATGGCTGATCTGGAATGAAGAAAATTTATCCTTGAGTTCTTTTGCCACCTTATACAATGTAGACAAGTTCTCATTCTTGACCTTCCAGGAACCATCAATCTGTTTCAAGCAGTAGCATGAAAATTGAAGAGAAACGAACTATAAATAACAGAAATTGGCAACCAAATGCTTGCAAAAGAAACAAGGTTATAAACTAAGGAGATCGAATAAATGAAACACGGTGATGCTTGTCCTGTATTTAGTTGATATTATCCAACGGAAAATTACACTCTGATGTCATGTAGTTTTTCTTAAATTCCTAGTTGCTAGACAACTATTTGCAAATCTAATCACAAAATTAAATACAATTCAGCAACCCACCAATTCATATGCAATGCATATATGAATTTGTGAAACTCTGCATATCAATATGCATAATATGTATGTCTCTAAATATATTTTTTCATTCCCTAAATTTAATATTAGGTACTGATTAAATACAGAGATGTACAAAAGCTGTTAGGCATGCAGAACGAAAAGAAACAGAAGAGGGGGAAGCAGCAACAGAAAAAGAGAAAAATGGAGAGAGGAGGTGATACAAATACTTTTCATTGTCCTTGTCCATTACATGTATGTCTCTATATGTATTGTTCCGATATGAAGGATCAAAAGAAAATTGGCTGAATGCAAAAGTGCAATCTTCTTTCCTATAATTATAAATCGTCTGTAATTCTGCTCTCGAATAACTACACAATTGCTGCAGTTTCCTATAACCCTTGTTCTGTTCTGAACAAATAAAATCCTCCAGGTGAGATATTCTGGTTGTTCTCTTGGTCCTTGAAGGGCCATTAATATTTCCTCAAGGTGGAACTCATATAGGATAATGGCAGTCTTCCAATGTGACTTCAGGGGGACCCCCAATCCACTGGATGAGGAGGACCTGCTGTTTTAGTCCATGTCCCAAGCCAGAAATAAAACAAAATAGAAATTGCATAATATGATAAGAATTATGCATTACAGCAGAAGAAACTGCAGTACCACAGAGCAGTGTTCCTTTCCACTACAAATGGACATGACACGTGAATACTAATTTCCTTGACTAATTACCATTCTTACCCCCCACCCCTGCGTCAGCCATTTTTCCTTTTTCTATTTCTCCTACAATAAGTCTTCCATACCCAAGGTCCATGACTAAGTTGGAATCGGTCAACCACAACATGAGCCCTGACAATCCATCAGCATCTTCCAATCAAGAATTGCCAGTGTTTCAAGGACTGGGTCCGTGTCAAAAATTTAAGATGGTAGAGAAATTAACAGAGGTGGATCAGTAAGGGGCTTGAGGAACTCTCAAGGAAGACATTGTGAATTTTAGCATTTGGGTGAAGGTCTTGGTGTTTTGTAACGAAACTGGATCAATTTCCTCCAAAATTTGATAAAGGCCAAAATATCTCTAGCATATAATTTGTGGCTTATAGTGAAAACGGAAGGATACTGCCAACTAGGTCTGAATATGGGGGAACAGGGTAGACTAAACATTACTTGGATTAGGATAAATCCGGTTGAAGAGTTAATTGAGGTTGACACAAGACACTAGTCTTATTTGCATATAACTTTTCATGTGGATATTTAAATCAAAGAGCCTTAAAAAAGAGCAATTACATATAGAATCCATAGACAAAACAAATACGTTAGTGAAGGGGTGTAAATGTTATTTAACACTTAATAATTTTAGAATAAAATAATATAGAGAAGAATATAAAACAACCAACCTGCATGCAAACAAGTTTGGAATCACCTTGGATACGAATACCAGTAAATCCCTTTTTGAGAGCATATTTCATTCCCAATATCATTGCACGATATTCAGCAGCATTGTTTGTCGCTACACCCACACCTTCACGTAACCTACAAATCTTTAAAGTAAACAAAGTTAAAGAGATTATAGTTGTATGCTAATGATGATTAGATACATACAGAAACATCAAATGTATACCAAACTTCCATCATTAGCTCGCAGAATTGCCCCAGCACCAGATTG